CAGTTGCATTTCAGTAATGTGTTATTAAAATACATTCTACAGTATATAAAGCAGAAATGAAAACAGAGGATGACGTACAGGGAAGGAAAAGATTTACACCAGCTAAATATTTTTATTGATAATCCTGGCCCTAGAAAATGATGGAAAGATCTCCTTCTTTTGCAGAGCTTTAAGCCCTCCATCTTACTCCTCCTTTGCCAACAGCTCTAAAAAAGTGCGTGAATACACCCAGAAGTAGGTCATGATTGCTAATATCCAAGGATACCATGTTTCTGTGGTTACCTTAGTACTCTCTCTTTTTTTCCTCCTCCCTCCAAGCAAAGCTCAGCCCCCATTCTGCTGCTCCACACCAATGCCGCATTGCCAGCTGCAAAGCCACTGCTCCCGATTTACACCTGCATTGCTGCACTGCACACGGCCTGCACCACAGCTCTGGGCTCACACCTGAACCAGCGGTGCCCACGCAGAGATGTGGGAGTTGCAGGGTGCTGTGACAGGGTACCACACTGTGTCACTCAGGCTGTCCATCCCCTGTCAGACTGCATCAGCACCTTCTCCCAGTGATGGACAGGATGCAGCGGTCGAGACCAGCCCTCCCAAAACCACAGCCCAGCTACATTTGACAGGTGAGAGGTGGGGATAAGTGAGCTGATGAGTGTCAGGACATCCCCCTCACCCCAGGACATCACTAAGAGTCAATCTGAGAAATCAGATGCAATGCTACAGCATTACAGAAAGCCCAATGCCCACCCGCATGGCTAAAAGGGATGTTTCTCTTGCACGTCTCCCAGCTAGTATGACACAGAATAGGCTCAGGCTGCGGACACAGAGACAGAGAGGCAAAGCTCAAGGCATAAACACAAAGCAAATCACACCGTGGCAGCTGTGTACAAAACGGGCCGGCTGTGCATTTGAAAGCATGAGAAAGGAGCTGGCTGTGTGCAGAAAAGCAGGCTTCTGAGATGTGACAATTTTAGCACTGATTCATCACAGGGTAAATTTGCCACAAGTGTGGCTGTGCCACCACATTTAAAGAGCTCTATACTAACTTGCGTTTGGGCAGGTTTTGTATCAGACTTTTGCTCAAATTGGATGTTCTTTTCCCTTTTTTTTTTTTTCAGGATTCATGGAATTGTAGAAGTTACTAAGACAGACAGCTTAGCAGCTGTGGCTCATTTTCAGTAGTCCTACAGAGCACAGTAGCACTATTAAGCTCTCTGACTCTAAATTTGGGACATATTTGCCCTTACTTTTTTGTTGACATCAACATTTGTGCCCACCACCTCTCTCATTATACAACTCAGAGAGTGCCCACAGAACTGGGAAACATACTGGTCAAAACAACAGTGTTTGTAGCACTGTGAGCAGAGTTCCTGCTGGTACACACCAGCATATTTTAGGACCTTATGACAAGAAGCAACTGAATTACTGAATTCAGTCATGGTTGCAGAATTCATGTAATACTTGTTTAATCCAGAAGAGTCCAGATGTTATCTACTCCACTCTGAGCATTTCCCAGTGCCCTTTCAGCCACTCTCTGACAGTATTTGCATAGAACTGTGTCTCAATTTTCACCATTTTATGTACCTGCCATGTTTTAAGCAACTTTCCACTTTGTCAAATGAACACGACTGTCCAACTTTTACCAAACTCATACAACCTTCCTATCTGCCTTCCTGTGCTGTCAGCCCAAGAATCACCTCTTGGAAGTCAGCCTATTAAAACTTAAGCTGTAAACATTTTGACTTTTAATTATAGTTATTCAACATACGTATTGGAGGATCTTCAGGATTTGGGCTCAGTGTGCTAACTGCTCTGCAAAACAGAAGCTGGTAAAAAACAAGTCATCACATAAAACGGGTATTGTAACCACATTGAGCTATTGTGGACATATAAGCTTTTCAAGGAATTCTAGGCAAAAAAAAACTATCATTATATCACAGCCCACTAGCTTCCACCCAATATCAACTGTTCTGAATCTCAGTAAAGTGTATATTTAACTGAACCTTTTGGAAAGGAGTTTAGCCCTGATCTGCACTTCCAAAGATGGAAGATTTGACACTTAAAGTTTGTTCCAGTCAGAAATCATTCCTACTGTTAAAATAAAATTTGTGTCTGATTTTTCATTTAAATTTGTCTAGTTCGCTTCAGTTTGCAACTACTGTATCTTATTATACTTTTCTCCACTAAATTAGAGTGTTCTTTAATACCTGGCATTTTCTCATCTTGAAGATACTCATACTCTAATCAAGCCACTTCTAAATCTTCTTTTTGATAATCTTAACAAGTTAAATGTTCTGAGTCTCTTACTGGAAAGTAATACCTCAAATTGTAATTCTAATTTTCTCAATGCGTTTTTGGAACTCTTTCCTGCAATCTCATCATTTCTTTAACATCCTACTGAAAATGTGGACTCTAGGGCATTTTCCAGTAGCCCACTAGAGCTGTCACCAACGCCATTTGCAAAAAGGAAAAATCACTTTACCACAAAAAAATTATTATTCCCCTTTGTACTCATCCAACAATCACATTTAGCCCTCTTTTTAAATTAACATGTGTCAGCCATTGAGCTGTCCACTCAATTATTTATGGATTTTTATTTCTGATTTGTCTAGATACACTGATTTTAAATGTTCGCTAAGTCACACACTCATTTTGACATCTCCAAACCCTGAAAGTCAAGTAGTCACTTTGAGGATGCATTTTTCCATCTACATGTTTATAACATACAATAATGCAGCTGTACATGCCTCTCAACCTGTCCCTTCTCAGCTCATACAGCTCACCATCCCCACCATGACCCAGAGCATTCCACGTCTGTGTTATCCTAACCAAACCCAAAAAGAGCTCAGTGACAATGCAACTTTTCAAATTGCATGATTCTGGCACTGAACTGAGAGTCAGTATCTCAAACAAGTTTTGCCTCAGAGAAAAGACCATGGGTTGCCCCTTCACAGAGCACAGGATGATGTGATGAGCAAGGAAGGAGGCACCTTTCATACAGAGACACAGCAAGGGAGTGGGACAGAGCCAAATTGTGCAGCAGCCTCACCAGATGATGAAAAAGGCAGGAGACATGCAGGCAGAGGAGCTGCTGTGCTGTAGTGTTTTTGTGCAAACTCTCCTTTTTTTTTTTTTTCACCTTCATCAGCTTCTGTTCTTCAGCTTGTCACTGATTGCCATACCTTTTCCTCTACCCTATTCTCCCTTACAACGTCCCTTCTCCTACTGCATTTATCCTCTCATTCCCAATTAAGTTCGCTCTGCTCTGCCAAAGCTCTTCCTGGAAACAACATTTTTGCTGCTGCTTTCACAGCTTTCTCCTGGCTCCTGTGTGTCACCCCCCTGCCCTGTGTCCTCCTCCTCCAGAGTGTTTGAATGCCTCTGGGGGAGGGACCGCCTGGAGCTTTGTTCTCCCAGTCCCTGAGTAACATGGCCCCCCTGCTTCCTAATTTTATTTTAGCCAATATCCTAATAAATGTGACTAATTGTAGCAGTACTGTGATGTCTAGTAGGAGAGACTGATGAAATAATTGTGTAGCGGGGATGAAACAGCCAGGCTGATGGCGGAGCAAAGCAAGCATGAGCTGTGCCAGCCTTACATAACGTTGCAGGCTGAGTGAGAAGCACCCAGAAGGAATTCGTTCCTTATCTCACACTTTCCTCCCCCTTTATTATTAAAAAAATAAAAAGATTATTTTCCTTTCCTACTGCCGCATGCCTGGTGTGTATGCCCAGACTCTCAGTGGGGCAGGAGAGGTGGCTGCAGCTCTGCACCAGCACAGCTCTCGCTCCAGCTCTGATCTCACAGTTTGCTGGCTGTGGAGTCAGGTGTCGCTGCTAAAAAACAGTCCTCTGCCTTCTAATTCATGCCAGCTTTTTTTCCCATTTTGCGGCAGATAAGAAAGATAATTTGAGTTTCAATATGTGGCTGGGGGTGCTTCTATCGTTAATTAGTTACAACCCTTGCCTGGTGCTGACGCTTACGCTGCTTTAGATGGCTGATATTTGCTCACCACCTTTCTGAAAGATTACAAAAGAGCCATGAAAATGAGAATGGGGGGATGGACAGACGGACAGATGAGGGATGCCTCTATTACAAGGAGTGAGTACAGAAAGCTTGGATTAGGGTGAACAGCTGGTGCGGATTCAATAATCAACTGCTCTGAAAGAAAAGCCTATTTTTTCTCATCCCATGGCATTAGAGAACAGGATACCAGAGCTGCCAACCTTACAATTGAAATCTGCCCACGCAGAATAGCAAATTCCCCTTGGCTTGCATTTAAATGCTCCTGGCTCATTATAACTCCATACAGCCTTTAATACATACATGTGGTCGGCATATTATCCTGCAAACAGAATGCTGCACTGCTTCTCTCAGCACGTCTCTGCCTTCATTTCAACACCAAAGGGAGGGACAGGGCGGGGGGAGAGAAAGGAGGACAGGCAGCTTATCGAGTTTACAGCTGCTGCTAAGAACATTGGTTTGATCCTCGCTGCTGGTTAGGACTCATTTCCACAGCAGGCAACAGGCAGCGGGTCAGGGCATTGAGCATTGGCTGGATGGGCTCAGGAGGTCACTCTTTGGGATAACACGGCCTGTGACAGGCCACAGGAAGGCATCCTGGCCTGCACCCACAGCTGCCCGCATGCAGCAGGGAGAGCAGTCAGTATATAAGCTTGCATCTGAAAAACAGGCTGTTTATTTCCCCAGATCTTCTAGTAATGATAAACACGGCAAAGTTACCAAAGCTTCCTCCAGCAGCAGCACCTACTGTTCACTCTCCTTCTGCTTCCTAATAGCAGGACTCCATCCTGGCCCAGGGGAACAGCCCCAGAGGCCGAGATAAACCCCACCCTGTGCTCAGTGTCCCTGGCTGCAGAGCTGCCCGCTGCTGGGGATGGGCTGTGACCCAAAGAGCAAGAGTTCATCTGAACATGATGGTGACAAATGGGACACCAACCAGCTGCCAAGCAGGAACATTTCCCACTGCATCCTGCCAGATGCAAACAAGAGGTGAAAAGCTCTATACATCATGCTTGACCCCATAAGCCAACTAGTCTCTCTGCTTTTCAGCAGGAGTAGAGAAAATTTTATTTTTTAAATGCCCTCTTCATTTTGGCACATCAGCACGAGAATGGCCAGAAACCTCGTTGCCAGTGATTTTGATCTGTAACAGGAAACCGAATATTCGGGGGAAGAGAATCTGAAAGCTTGGACCACAATCTTCCCTCAAACTCACTACTGATACTCATGTCATGTTCCTGTTCATTCACAACCCTGGTTTTGAAAGGAGAGCAGTGCTTGCCCCTGCTGCCCCAAATGCAAGGAGAAGAACGGAAGGGGCTGCCCTGAAATGTGTCAGCTTGAGTCCCCCCTGTTCTTCTCACCAAAAGGAAAGGAAGATATTAATGCAGATGATTTTGTTACATAAATACATGTTGTATCAGGGCCATTTTTAGCATTTGTGGGGGCGTGAAGAACTTCTCCAAGCTGCGTATCTATTTCATAGGATTCAGCTGAACTGAGAAAAAGGACAGAGAGTTTTAAGGTAAAACATCAAGATACATTTTGTTTAAACCCACGCAATTCTGTACAGTGCTCCAGATGACAAAAAAGATTTCTCTAGCACCTCTCTGGCCTCAGTATTGCTTTGTAATGTTTTGTAAAAGAAAGACCTCTTAGTATAATTTGATAAAATTAAGGACAAATTAGTCATCAAATTTCAAATAATAAGTGTGCCATTTGGCATCAGACATTTTCAGTTTCTTTACATTCTGCATGGCTAAAACATTCAATTAAAATAGAATTTGAAAATCCAGAAACCTAATTTGTTGTTTAATCTCAAAATCACTTAGACTTCAAATAGATAGATTTCTATTCAGGAAAGAGCCTGTTTTTGAATGAAGAATAAAATCTGGGAGCATTTTTAGCAAATCAAGCTCACACAATACAAAATTCCTCTTGACTTCTGAGCAGTTTTCTATCATCCCTTTCACCTCAGCTTCACATCCACTCCAATTCTGGACTGAACATGGCTCACAGTGCCCCGATGTGTCCATCAGTGCAGAAGTTAATGGCAGCCCCACTACGGCTGTGCCAGCTGGGGACATATTACATCCACCCCAAAAATGTGCTCAGTTTCTTCTGTAGGCATAAGTTGAGCATGGTTGAGATTGGCACGGGAAAAATTGGATTTTGCACTCCCACTTGGAAGTGTCCAGCAACTGGAGAAGCAATGTGATCCTCCAAGGTTTTTTGCCTGCAAATGTTTCTGAAGAAAAAAAAAAAATCTTGTTATCTATATAGTCATGTAAGAACATTTTCCTTCTGGACAGGGAAGAAGCTTTTGGAAATCATGCGTCACTTAGAGAAAGGCACTGTCAAAAGGAAGTTTCCATGGGATTACCGAGTGCTGTAGTTTTTGTTTCTCAGGTTCCAAAAGTATCAGACTGTTTGGAAAGGAAGAACAAATAAAAGGACAACAAAACCTAACTTTTCATAAGTCATCTGAGCTTGGAAAACTGGCTTATTTCTGAATAGTGCCTACACTCCATGTTTGTTAAATCTCATCATGCAATCCACAGAGTAGACTCCAGCTGGGTCACTGATAGCTATATGGTGCTCAAAACTAGAGGGAGAAGGAGTTACCTAAAAACAAGTTTAATTTATTACTTGGAACATCCCTGTCAGCCTTGGCTCAGAGTATTTTATTAACATGGAAAAGAATTTTGGTTAAATTTCATTAAATCAGACTAAGGTATGTCCATATTTTGTACACTTCACATTTCAGAAACTCAACTTTTCTGCAACAAATGTCAAGTTCCTCAAACTGATGCTTTAAAGTTACCCTGAATCTGCTGCCCCCTTTAAATTACTGCCCCAAGAAATTCATTCAAACCTCCCTCTGAACTAGTGGTTTGAATGGAAAAGATGTCAAGAATTCATTTTACTAGTTAAAATAGGGCTTCCTGGTGGTACAATAACAAAGAAGACTCAAAAGCCCCAAATTTGTACCTCTGTACTCTGTCTCCTCATTCAGTTGATCAGTTTACCTTGGATTTACTCCAGAGACACTCAACTCCAGCTGAAAACCAATTCTGCATGTAAGGAGAGAAAGATTTACTGTTATTGCTCAGTATCCATCAAAGAAGGAGACAAGATAAATGCAATATATCATAGCAGTAAGGATACCTGGGTGACCCGGTAGACTCTAGGGCCCAATTTTGGTAGTGGTGTTAACAGCAGGAGGTTGTTCAGGAATTTGGAGAGATTCAGACAGATCATAATCTGTGAGAAACAATAAAGCTGCTAAAACTATGCTTTGCACACGCTAACTGCCCCAAACCATACTTTCTTTTTTTGGAGGAGGAAATAAAGTGAAGATCTTCGGGATATGCATCTTCAGACAAAGACTAATATCCATTTACAGTAATAATGCACTCAGCATGAGAGAAAATCAAAGTAAAATAAGGAAAGTCTCATCATTAGGAACACTTCAGTTTGATTCAAAATAAGACGTATGGAAGAAAAATGCTTCCAGTACCAACTGTGAGGACAGTTAAATACACTGGGACAGGTCTTTTCCACCTTTTGTTTTCACTGCACACATACCATTCCCTTGATACACCTGTTTTCTCTAACTGCTTGCAACACCACAAAAGCTTTTCAGCTGACAATAAAGACGACTTCGCAAAATCCAAACCTCACCAAACAAGTCACTGTCAAGCAGGTTAGAAATGAACAGAAGCTGCAAACAATTACATCATCATCTGAAAGTGCTTCTCTGCATTACAAAAGAGAAAATAAGCAAGGTACAAAAAGAAGGGAGAATGCAGCTCAATGCCTTCAGCATGCAGCTTGGTAGCAGGATCAGATGAATGCTAGAGTTCATGAAGATTTCACCACATTCAACATCTGTAGTGGCAGTCCCAGCTGGATACAAGACCTCCAGGCCAGCTGGGAGCAACTGTGGGCATGATGGTACCCCAGGTACCTCAACAGTGTCCTTCACTTAAGGTGCTCAAGTTAGGAGCTTTGAAGTTCTTGGTCCCTCTCTAAGACAGGAAAACTGTGCATCAAGAGGTATTGTTTGCTTTGTCCCCGTGGTCATTTTTCATGGAAGCAACTGCAGCATAAGCAGAAATCACATCATTTTCCACATCCCAAACCATCACATGGCGAGCAATATGGATTGGGGTCACTATCTAGGATAGAAAAAGCTCTTCTGAAACAAAACCAACCAAACTACCAAACAAAATCTGCAGATACTGGATAAACCTAATCAGCGTAGTGGAGGGAACAAGCAGTGCCCTGACAATGGGATCACTTTTTTTCTCTGGAGAAATAAATCATCCTCATGAGTTTCTGTTAAGAATAGAGAGGTGAACTGAACCATTCTGGAGAACTCTGACAGAGTTCTCAAGGGCTGGGAAAGTCTGAAGGGCAGCATGAACTGACGCCAGAGAGGAAAACAAGTAAGTCACAAAATCATAGTATATCTATGAGAAATAGAATGACCTCATCTATCATTCTTAGAAGGAGAGAGGAAAAAAAACATTTTTACTATGTGACTTTAGATCTTTTTCAACAGACACAACAGAACATATTTTGTTGTCGTAACCTACAGCCGTTGGTGGTTACCTTTATCCCAGTGTGTTGCTTCCCTCACAGCACTGTACAAAAATGACATTATAAGGACAAAGACACAGAATTAATTTAATCACTTTAATACATTATTTTCCTAATGACGAGTGCTTCAGTGTGCCCATACAAGAGTTTAAGGCATAAAGTTTCCTTCGATAAATGTTTTTCTCTTTATTCTCATGTATCTACCCTGGACTCTTCATCTAGGCATTAATGTATATGAATAAATTCCCATTGTGTTGTTTTGCTATTGTCATACATGGCTGTACACACACATTTTTGCCTCATCAAACACGATCAAAGCTTAGCTGTATTTGATAAATATTGCCTAAATTCTATTTGATAAATGCTCCCTCTAAGATCTTTCCTCTACAGCGTGAAAAGTCAATGCCCTAATTTTAAGTTGCCCTTTGAAAGCAAGCCAATATTCAGATGGATATCGACTCTGGGCCTGCTGGTTGTTCTGCAGCAGTATTTGGAAGGCTGCTGTTTTAATGAATGTGCTAACATTTGATACACACACAAACAAAATCAATAGCACTATTTTTAAAAAGCATGTGGCTTTACTAAGTACATTGACACTACCCTGTTGTTCAGAAGTTTACTAGAAACCTCCCTATATGACTAAATTGATGCATTTGGCTCATTTCTCTACTTGCTTGCCAGAATGCAGAATACGGGACTTCAAGGACATTGAAAGTCAGCCTCTGCTGCAGGAAAAAAAAAAAAACTTGTTTAAGTTTGAAGTGATGTGATAGCCTGTACCTGAAACTCCCCTGCAGTTGTCAAATCTTCCTATTTCTTCTCACTATTGTCATAGAAGAAACCAAAGCTTTCCACATCAGAAATTCCTGGTTCTGTGGCTTCTGAAGGAACTTGATGACTCTGGGCAGAGAATAAAATGTACTTATAGCCAATGTTGAACAAAGTCATTCCTGCTCTTTTGTCTTCAGTAGGCAAATACATCAAGGTCCTTGAATCCAAACCTTGGATCTGCCATAGCCCACCTGCAGTCAGTAGCTGTTTTTCAAGCAGTAACTGAAAATATCCAATCTATGTGAGTGAACAGGCTACAAACCTCCAAGGGAGAAAAGTGTGTAAAAAGTAAATCCAGATGAAATTCTAATGCTGTGTGTATATACAAAATTTTGAGAGATGACAATTTTGAAATTTTGTATATATAAAATGTTTTGTGTATATATAAAATCAATTATACATTATATATATAAAATGTAGGCATTCTCAACAGAGTTTCAGAAGATATTCACTACATGGAAAGTTTGATAATTCAAAGCTTTACAAACAATATTTTTTCATCCAGTGAGCAATTAGACAGTGAAAGTCATTGTCACAGCCTGTTAGCCAAGTGAAGAATAGAAGATTCAAAAGGAGATGAGGTATTTTAATGTGTAAGAAATATGAAATAACCACAAAATAAAACAATTTTCAAGTGAATACAAATTACTGTGCACGTAATGGAGCATTAGCAAGGAGCTTTTCTTAGTGGCAGATTACCACCATTTACCTTCTATGCTGCTGTTTCTTGCTTCATCCTTCTTAAATACCTGGTGGGGTCCTGGCCAGGCAAAACACTGGGAAGACTGGGTTGTGGTCACACAGCAACTCCTACCTCCTTAATGCACTCCCCTCCTGTGTAAGAATAACTCAGACTATACAGACTACTCAGGCTGCTTTATGGGTTCATGCCTCTGAGCAGGAGGCTCATGTCTACATTGCTCTCCAAGATGCCCACAACCCCACTGGCAACGCATACAAAAAAGCCCATGCCACAGCTGCAACTCTGCAAATCTTCTGCCTTGCTAGTTAGCTCAAAGCCTCTGATGATGCCATTGCTGCAGCAGTCAGCCCAGATCTGCCATGATACTTTGCACTAAAATGCCACTATTCCCATTTGAAAGAGACACTTGATATAAACAGAAAAGAACTGAATTATTCAACTTACTTGTATCAAGCAAGGAACCAATGCCAGTGTTTTTGAGCCCTAATAAACTGTTTTAACCATACCTTCAAAGACACTGCAAAATTAGACTGCGTTAGCCCCTCTGCATCTATAAATGTCTGATTCTGGAAACGCAGAGAAGAAAAAAACTATTCTCCCCTGGACACCCAAACAACATTGTGCAAACAGGAAAGAGTGGGAGGGCAATCTCCAACACAGGTCTTTCTAATGAAAATGTATTTGTGAAACAACCCAATGAGGAGTTGGCAGGAGAACACAGGAAGCCATCTATTGATCCACAGCTCCTTTGGACCCCACATGATTCAAACTGAAGCAGCAGCTTCCTACAAGAAGCTCAAAGCTGTGCATAAAGGTGTTATGCCATGACACTGTGCAAACAACATAGTGGTGAGGCATCAGAGGCAGCACTGACTTTGGCTGAAGAAAAGACCCCAGCAGAAGAACAGAAGCCAGTAGAGTCAGAATGGTTGTCAGTGTCATGGCAGGACAAACAGCAGTGACAACTGCAGACAAGCACACTTGTAGCTGCACCCAGATCAGCTCGCTGAGTTGTGAACATTTGCTGAATTGTTCCCCACACTCTTCTGTCTCATATTATTTAATCCACCTCAGTAAATGCAGCCTTTAACAAAAAACTCAAACTATTACAGACCGTTCCATGGCTTGGGCATCACATCAGGGTGTCTAGCACGCAGATATTAGGTTATCTTCTGGGCAGGTATTCATCAAATCTAACCTGATAGAGTACCAGCTAATTTTTCTCTTCAGCTGACATGCCCTTCCACACGTAAGCAATATAAATGTGCACATTTCTGAGCAGATCAGTAGACAATATCACCCAGAACGAGGGCTGTGCTGAATTTTTGAGCTCCTTCTAGTCCTCAGGCAGTTTGTTCAATCATGATTCATTTTAAGCAGATGATTTCCACCATGATGGACAATTTCTTCCTCTTATATTACATGATCTTTCCAACTATAGAGGAAATTTTGGCACCTTTTTTTTTTTTTTTTAAATCTGTATGGATACATCCTGCAGGTTGTGCAGGTTGGATTATTATAATCAAGGAGATCCCAGAAAGGAAAGAACTGCATTATTTATAGGCTCAGGTTTTTATAAGAAATATATAGAAGTTGAGATCAATAGGCATTTCTCTAAGATCTAGTACACATAATTTACCACTGCTACAAAAGAACTAATAGCAGAAGGCATTAATGTACATTAACCAAAATCACAGATTTGATTAAAGCACTAAGAACACTTCCTAGAGGCTCAGTTGAGACGCTTTGTAGAGCAAAATACCTGACAACAGTGGTAACAGCCATTCAACGAAATGAGGCATGAGGATGAGAATAAGGATCCCATGGCCCAAACCAGCACATGTTCAATGTTGCTAGTGAAGGGAGGATAGCAAAATCTGCCCTAACAGCAATGGGCAATATTGTAGGAGTAGGCCTACAGAGGAAGAAGATCTGTGAGAACAGAATAAGGCAGAAAAGAGATGTGAAAATGGCCTAGATGTTGTTTGTTTCTATAATAATTGGACAAACAAGATTGTGTGTGCATTTGTTGTAAATACATGATTTTGCTTAGCATAAACCTATTCCAAAACATTCCAAAGGGGAAAATAAAAGGAAAAGCAACCTGTAAGGGCTCTGAATAGTCACTAGCCATTCAGGCCAGAAGAACCACAGTGCCCGAAGAACATCTCATCATATCCCCCTGCTTGCACTGCACTTCTTACTGGCAGCCCTTTCACCTGGCTCCTGATGGTGAGGGGATACCCATGTAGGGATCCCACATTGTTACACTCTGCAGGGAGTGTGCTGCATTGGGATGAGCAGGACAGCAGCATACATCTCATGCTGCAGTGCTGACTGCTGAAGCTGAAACTCTGGCTCACATTTAGCCAACCAATACCCCCAGGTTCATTTCTTCCACACAGTCTTCCAGCCATGCAGCCACTCTGCCCCAAGCCTGTAGCATTGCCTGAGGTTGCTGTGGCCAAAGTGCAAGATCTTGCTGAGTTTGACACATCATGTCTGATGGCCAGGTTACACCAAAAGGAGTTAAAATTTATCACTTGGCAATTAAGGAAAGCTGCAGAAGAATCACCTTGAAGCTGATGTAAGTCACAGGACTCCTTAAATTTCTTCCACACAACCTGTGAGCAGCACATGGACGCTTTTTCTCCTCAGCAGCCTGAACCCAGCTAATTGCTGGTTCCTCCATCTTGGCAGCTCTCTGTCCAGCTCTTGTGACTTTGGACATGCTCCCCTTTGGCCTGGCAGAATAAATGTGACTACTTTTGTGCCAGCTCAGCATGCTGAAATAGCAGAGCACCAGGGCTGACAGCACTTAAATGACTTGAGTGAGGAGGCGGTGGCAACAGCAGGGGGAAGAGAGAGCACAGTCATGGCAACTAGCTGTTATATGGCTGAGGCTGTTGTGGTACTATAGGCCAAACTGTGAAAAGCAATAGTTTTCTTTTTGTGAAATGAAGGCACTAATGCCAATTAATGGAGATGTGGCAACATTTCTGGTATATGTCAGTGACCTAAACATCTGCTGCTACACTGCAATAGAAGAAAAAAATTACTTGGACTATCTAGCATCTAAATTACTTGCTTTCTTGTTAACTGATGAACTTCTTGCAAGATACACTTTCTTTTTATAGAGCATCTTATTGAGAATCTGAAGCAATTCTTTGCAGGCGACAATATACATTCACTGCAAGTGGGCACCAGTGCAAATGAAGCTGCTAGTGCAGAAAAAAATTACACCTCCTGACAAATAGCCTCTCTCCGTATTAGCAATTTCTTAAAATAACCTGTTCTCCGCAAGCTGAATTTCATGTTCATGTTTGAGCTGAACACTGACAGCGCTACAGGAGCTGTAGAGGAAGCCTGCCACTGTGCTGCACCACCTCAGCTCAGCCCTGCTGAGCATGGGAAGACCAGGCTCCAGAACTGGTGGGTTCCCCCAGCTGGCAGTAATACGAGGGTATTACATAGGCATTTGGACATCCCATGGCACCTCCTTATCTCAATGAATTTAACTTCACAACACTCTTCTCAGTTGGTTGTTGCATTGGTTTCCCTGAGCAGAAGTCAGGTATGTTGTAGTGAACAGTTAGTTAAGGCATGAGTGTGTCAGCAGCAAGACAATGAGGGGAAAAGCCATGGGTTTTGTAACAAAAAGGAACAGGAAGAAAAAAAAGAGAGAAAAGGAAAGAATCATGAAAGGGAAGATCAAAATGAAAGCAAATACTGGGGGTAGAATAGAAATATGTCTCATAGGTCTTCATCCCAGGTTTCTCACTATCACAGCAACAGTCTCATGTAAATCTCCTAAGCTCAATCTCACAGTTTTTTACTTTTTCTGAACCCCCCTACTCCCATTGGAAAGTTATTTTGAAAGCCCACTTTTCCTGTGGCTAGAAGCCTTTTAATTTCCAGCCTAATTTTATTCACAGCCATATGTCCATCTGTTCTTGTGCCAGCTTTGTACTGTAGCTTAAATACTTTTTCTCCCTCAGTGATGTTAACCTCTCAGTTCTGGTTTCATGCTCATCTTAGCTGGTTCTGTGTATGAACTGCTGTCAAGCAGGTATTCCCTCACCTCCCTGCACATGGTAGCATGGACACATCTTGCCTCTCTGCCCATGTCAATGGGGTGACATTGCCTCCTCTGTACTGGCACTAGGGCTGCTGATGACAAGTGCTACCACTAATGCTCATACTATAGCTGACGTGATGGCCAGCCAATTGAGAAACTCAACCAGCTGAAAATCAGCCCAGAAAAGATCCCTCCCTGATCCCACAGTTATTCAACCACTGGGACAAGGTAGGTATCAGGAATATGCAACAAGGAAAGAGAAAGGTGAAAAAACCCAGTGCTGACAGCTTAGATTGTAACCAGAGCAAATCAGTTGTGAATCCATACCTAAAAAGAAACAAGAATTCATTCTTATGCTTTCACTGGATAAGAAGTCATTCTTCTAATTTCTTCTTGTCAGGTACTTTGTCTGCTCTCTCCAGATGGCCTCTGCATTTCTTCCTGCTGGAGCGTGTTGTGAACTGACCTGCACACGCTGTTCTGGAGTTGATCTCACAGGCATTCATGCTTTCCCTTTCTGGGTTAGAAAAAAGTTAACCTGACTTGTCCTTAGATTCCATTGAGAAAGACAATGAAGAGATATGAGAGATCAAATGGGGAAGGCAGAGAAAGAGGGCACAACTGTAATCTGGGATAAAAGCAGAGCCCAAAGGTTTCAGACAGTCCTGGAGATTCATGCAGCTGAACCTGCCCAAATGTGCTCTTGGGACTTTTAACTTCCCCAGAGAAATGCTTATTTAATCAAAAACTTTCCCTGGTTAGTTGTTTGAGCATCACAGTAGCAGGTAGAGAAGTGGGATGGACCGGGCAATGGTAGAGCCTGAGCTAGTAACTTCCTTACATCAGACGGATGCCTCTGCTGTTAAGTGCAAGAAATGCCTAACCACTTACGTGTGCACTCAGGCATATGTTTATGCATGTTGTTGACATAGAGTCTACAAGTCCCTCTAGATCATATTATGTAAAATGCAAGAGGTAAACAAATGAACAGATTTCAGAAGAGTAATATGAAAAAATATAAGGAGAAAATCTTAGATGAGGCATTTTTTAAATGATTTTAAATGCTAACATCTGACAGGTTAGCTGGTCTCGCCCATAGTCATGCAGCACAAGTGATATTTCTCCATGGATCCTTTGTTTTCAAGAAGGATGTAGAATTCCCAGAGTACCTCTGAGAATTCAGCACTGAATCACTTCACACCTGATGACAAAAATACATCCAGACAGGATGTTCTTCAGCCAAAGGACGTCCCTCTGCCTAGCAGCTGAACTGTACAAACCGCGTGGCAGCTTTGACGCAGGACCCTAATCCCAGGAGCTGTGTGATAGGGCTTGCCTGAGGCCACGAACTGGCAGCACGATGAATCTGCAGCCTCCATGTGCAGAAGTTTCCTCTGGATCATGTCAATCACACATGGAAAACACTACCACTTCCTTCCTTCTGCCTCACAAATTGCCTGGCCTGGGGCTGTATCTCTGTCAGAAAAGGGCTCGCCAGCATTGGGCAGCACTCCTGCAAAGACTTCCTGGTGCGTGATGTGGTGGCTGTGCTGGGCAGGCCCACGTGGCAGAGTCACTGCACACCCACAGCCCACCCAGGCCTCATGCATGCAGTGAGCCTTGCCTGGGGGACGCCTCAGCTACATGCATACATGCAGTGACGCTGCTCTTTGTTTGCAAACATCATCTGGGATTTCTGGGCTTCTTATTCTGAGTGGTAAAAGAGCATGTCAGGGGAAACGTGGATGGCCCTGCAGTCAAATGTCTGAGTTCAGATTTTTCTGCTAAGGTTTTGCCTTTTGGAATATGTGAAATCTTTCCCTTAGATTATCTTTGCCTGATTGCAGAAATAACTATTATTTCATAGAAACAACTCCCCTCACACATACACAAAAAGATGAAGACAGCTAGGAAATACATAGGAGTTACTTCTAATTCTGTTTTAGAAAACCCTACAAATGTGAAAATAACCTAATCCTTAGATTTAATGTCATATTAAGGGACCAGAGAGATACACAGTTGCTCTGCGTCTGGATTATCTGATGAAGTAAGGCCCAGAAGTACTGCTTGCCAACCACATACATAAACCTGGTTTATCACATTCTCCACAAAGTAGATTATATTTTTGTGGTGCCCTTATCCACATGTTCAATCATCGGGACTGCATTACCTTTCCCAGTGACCTTCCTACTGCTCTTCCAAATTAAACAGTCAGGCATTAGTCCCCAGCTTCAGCTCAGATAATTGGCTGTGGTACAGGTGGTGCAACCAGGGGCAGAGCTTAGTAGTGGTGACAAGGTCACTTACCTCAGAGGAGAGGAAAAGCCTCAGCAAAGACCTTCACCTTCAACCTGCTGTGCATCACCACAGAGGCTCCACCACTCAGAGCACTTTGTGCTGAACCAGGGTTCTTCCAAGAGCAGCATGAAGCACCTGAGAGAAAGGGAAAACAAACAGCAGTTTCCCCACTGCTGCTCTAATTAAATCGTTAATTAGGTACGTGCAAGTGTGGATGAGTTGCTGCAGACGGAGTTTGAAATCCTCGTGCTAGTCAGAAAAAAAGACAATGGAACAGATTTAGGTTCAGTTTGAATTTGGTTGGAATCTTACTATTTTATCTAATAGGATTTTCTCCTGTGCTGAAGGACTTTACCAGTTTTACAGGTGTTACAGCAACTCATCTCCTTGTTCTCATTTAGCTGTTTGAGCTGTCAAATCTGGGGCATCTGTGTCTTCTGCCTACTAATCTATGTCCCTTTGGCAGCCTGTGCTATCCCAAGGCAGACTTCAGATCCAAAAGAAACCCTCAGAAAGATCCTTCCTGCTGAGTCCTAAAAAAAGGCAGACTACAAATGCTCACTATTTTACATTTTATCATATATATTAAAGAAGAGAAATGTATTTTGAATGAGCTAAAAACTCATATTTTAACATTCACAATAGTTGATAACTACATTATAACAGAAATTCCAAGATATTTGAGAGCTCTTACCATATTGTCCCAGCTGTGTTATCTGTAGAGAACACGATACAGCTATGTAAAGCTGCTATGATGGCTAAGTATATTCAATTATCTCTGCTAGTTCTGTCTCTCCTATCCATACTCTCCAATTTATCTCAGCAATTGCTAAATATTTTAAGCTTCTTAAGTTAATTCATGCATGCATTACAAATAAGCATGTTGAGGAAAAATATGGCTATTTTATCTACCTCGACCTATGAGTGTGAACATACTACTAATCTGTGTACAGCTGTAAGACAGGTTCCTTCTCCCCTTACCCTTCCCCTTCAAAAAACAAATTTTAGAAAACGGGTTATGTGAACACATGGATTTCTATAGGGAGCCAATGGAACAACGTGTACATTTGCAGGTTCGCAGTAGGCTCCCACAGTCTTGTCCTCATGCACATAATAGGAGCTGGGCCAGTAGAGAGGCTAAATGGGGAACAAATGGATGGACAGCAAAGATGATGTTGGTAGAAAGTGCAAGAACCTCATTCTATTTCTTTCAAAGGTTTGTGCATAGTAATTCCTCACCATTATGATGTATGTAGCATATATATGCATGATATGCTTGCTAAAGAAACCCTGTCTGTCATCACCAGAGAGGCCTGCATAAGTGCCTTTATTCCAAGAGCCCATTGGAGTTTAGACAGTATGGCATCCATGAGTGAGGAGAAAGAACACCAGCTCTTATGGTAATGAAGATTACAGTGAAGAATGAATGGGATGAATGCCTGGTGGCTTATCCACTGACAGCAATTCAGAGGATTTTCCCTTACAACAGCAGCTATAGCTAGGTTTCACTAGTTTTCTCTGCAAGTTTCTCTGCAGTTTCACAACCAGGCCGAAAAAAATCTACATGGAGATAAAACCCTCATACCATGCTTCTAAGCAAATGTAAAAAAGGGCCCTTGTTTCTGTGTGAAACAGTCAGAGGTGAAACAAAAAAGCCCTGCAAATACACATATAAAAAGCTATATAGTTAGTGTCTGAGTTGGTACTCCAAGAGCTCTACGAGTCAGCTAGATTAAGTTAATTTATCCCATCTGCTAATTAGGCTTGTGAAAATTAACATCTATTTTCTAGCACTTTCAAGCCAGTTTGTAGCAATCTGCAGCAAAATATGTATATATATTTTCTGTTAAGTACTGTGGGTTGTCTTTAGAATCTGATAGAGGTGGATGATACCCATTCACTTCCAGAGGTCTTCTCCTCAAGAATTTAAAGTGGCAATTGGCAACAGTAGTTCTTCCATCCCTTCCTACACAAGCTCTTCACAAGCAGTGAGGTTTTCAACACTCCTCTTGCTACAGTGGAGAAATAAAAGACATTGCTGAAATGTCTGTCACTCTACAGACCATTTATCAGTCCTGAGAAAATTTTTGGTCTGAGAAATAAATAAATACATACATACATACATACATACAATTCTTTTTTTCTCCTGATATTTTGTTTTCATAATTCTTGTATCGAGTTGTACAATAATTCCAAGTTATTGTACCAAGAATTCCTTGAGAACTATAAAAGGCATCTTCATATTGCTGCCCTGGGAAGTGATGGAGTCACCATCCCCCAGGTTTTCAAGAAAAGGATAGACATCACACTGAATGACATGGTCTAGACTGGCCACAGGTATGGGTTGATGGTTGGACTAGGTGATCTTATTGTCTTTTCAACCTTAACGATTCTATGATTCTATGATTTACAGAGTTATTTGTAGAGCAAGACGATGTTTAACCTGCGTGTCCTCACCAGCTCTACCCTGAGTTTATGGTAATGGAGCATCCATCTTTACCATCCAACGAGGCGATTATAGCCTTGCTCACAACCTTTGCCTTTGAAGGCATGGACCTGAAATATTTCCCCCTCTGAGGAAGAAGAGAGATCATGGGAAAGCTGACAGTAGTGTCAACATTCTACTAACTGTGAGCATGAAGCCTGTCTTAGGAAATTAATACCAAGCATCTCACTTAAATGGCATTTTGTTTGGGACAAAAGCCAAGAAGTATGAATATTGGTTTGGTCTATTCATCACTCACATGACTGAGCCCTTTGTTTTTAGCCTGTGATGAGCGGTAAGGATAGAAAATCAGCCCCAGCTTTGAATTTCCTGCCTTTTGTCAGTTTATGTCACACCCATAATATTATTCAAGTGGGGGGTTTTGTGTGTAACAGATAAATGTCAACAAAGCCCCATCTAATGCCTTTTAGGTTGCTAGGAAACCAACTCTGTAGCCACCACAGAGATATCTCTGGCTAGGGGCTCAGATAAGCTCTGACTTGTTTTGATTAGGTGAGCTTTATTACAGAAAAGACAGCAGCCTGCTTGACATCATGAAAATGTGACCTGTTACAAAAATAATGGTGCAAAGATCATTTATTGCTCACAAGTTGCATTCAGTGGAGGACACTAAGACTACTTTTCTAGCCCACCAAATCAATGCCACCCAGAAAAATCCACACCTCTTAATAAAGGTTTCCCACAGTCCCTTAGTACTTGGAGCAGATGCTGCTGACACCTCTGTGTTGAAAAGTCATTATTAGTCTGGCTTTATTTCATGTGTCAGGAGAACAGCAATATTTGTGGTCTGCTGGGCAGAGGAGATAACTAAGGATTAAATTACCTACATTCTTCCCTCGGCTCTGCAATTTTATGATTGTGTTAGAGAATAAACTTACGTGAGTTCACCTCTTTCAGACATTTATGCAACTCTGTTAATGGAGGAGGCAAAGTGATGCGAGTTTCTCAGCTTGTGGTGATCTGGTGCTGCTCAGGAGCACTGATACTCTTCTCCCTTCAGACTGAGTTCATCTCTGCCTGCTCATGTTATACCAGTGCCCTGCCCCTATCTACAATACGTCCAACAGGCATTCGGTGGACTAGCGTGAATACCATGCCCTCTGGTTTTCATCCTTCACCTCCTTACTGATGGAAGGTTTTTCCCATGACCTGTCCTACTGCAGTTCCAGCAACTTGTCCTGTTCATTATGCACAGGTAAAGAACAGATTATTCCTTCCTCTCTGTAGCAAACTTCTATATGTTATCCTGTCTTCCTCAGCCAAATTTTCTCTAATTGAAACAGACTAAACCTTTTCAGTCTTTTGTTATAGGCTATACAACAAAACCTGAACCTCTTTAACTCCATGCTGATTGCCAATGAAGGCAAGAGAAGTATTCTCCAAGAGCTGTGAGCTATGCAATTTCTGTCCACATTGCTGGCAATAGCTTGGGATCTCCCCTTTTATCAGAAGGGGTTCAAGCAACTGTATCTGATGATATATAGGATTGCCAATGGGTAGTTGTGCTGAGTCCAAGTGCAGCTGAAGTTGTGTGACAGACACCTTAGGACCATGCTGCAAGCACTCTCTGGATTTTCATTGTGATCTAAGATCACATTTATGTACTTACATGTATTAAGGTACATGGTTCCTTGAAGTACCCTCATGTGACAGATGCAAGTTGTGCCAGTTGGCAGACAATCCTGCTGAATTGCTTGTAGAATGTATAAAGGCTCTCCATAAATTTATGCCCAGTTACATGAAAGGTTTTGTTTGTTCAGGAAGTATATTCAGCCAATAATCATGGCATTGTTAAAGAAATCTCTATTCATCAATCTACCTAAGTAAAGCTATTACAGGAGTTAAAAAGTGATCCAAAGGATGAAAACAAACAGACTCCAACTAATTGGGAAAGCAAGTTTCAGAATAATGAGTTCTGTGCCAAGGACCATGCAGCTGAAGTGTTTCAGTTGGGAGAACTCAGTACAGACAGGTACCTTCCACACCATTCAGTATATAGGTTAATATTAACATTAGGCATTGCACATTTAACTCAATAGCCTAGGAAGCAATGATCTGGTATGCGTCCCTGCTACCACTATTAAACCTTGGATCTGTGTACAGTACTTGAACATACCCTCATGTACTGAGAACCTGCCAGAGAGGATACAAAACGCCTGTTTACACTCTGCAGCTTGCTCACAGAGCAGCCCCCCAGTGCCCTGGCTGATTTGGATAATTTGGCTCGAGTCTCTTGGGAGCATGTGAACCATGACCACACAGCAGAGCTCTGGGATTAAACCTGGTATCTTGCCAGTCTCCACTGCTGTCTGCAGCTGGGGCTGGGCATCCCTGCACCTCCACAGCACTGGGGTCAGCATGCACTTGCCCCATGCACTGCAGAGAACCATGCTGGCCTCTTCCTCAAAAGGTGACCAAGACCAATGAATGTGTACAAAAGCCTTTGTTGCAAAAACACACCACCTGCTTCTGCTGCCATTGCTTCCTCAACACATGCTGCCAGAGCCCCACCACAAAGAAACTTAGCCACTGGGGTGCAGGAAAAACAAGCTCAAACCAGGGCTATGGATGGCTACACACAGCAGCCCATTAGAACCAGTTTTGGTCAGATGGTGTTTGTTGTGCAGTACCATTGCCTCAATTACGTTCTTGGGTCTTAGCTGACAGCCAAGCTGTGACATAGCAAGTTGTTACATCAAAGTGCTCTTGGGACCCAAGCATTGCTGCAGGCAAACAAGGATGGGAAGCCTCTGTGGAAAAGGTTGCGCATGTATGCATTTGTAGCCTTAGAGAATCTCACCTGTCTCAAGGCTTGTTAAGGTCCTGGACCTCGCAGACTGAGCATGATGCTCCAGTGTCAAGTGACAATGCAGCACAGAATTTACTGTTATGGCATGTAGATCCAAAACTAGCATAGCATGTGACAGAGGCATGTATGTCAAGCTACACCAGCACGACAGTTGGTATCACAGCTCATTACATGTGCAGCCTTTGTCTTGGTTAATTTGAAGTCAAATTACTGCTGCAGGCCTAACCCAGCACATCAAGCTGGCCTCATACCTTCTCAACTCTGCCTCCTAAAACACTCCCTGCAGAACAGACCTGGGCCTCAGCCCAGTTCTGAATTCCTTCTTGCACCTCACAGACTTTCACATTTTTTTAACTACAGATTTCTCTAGAAAAACTCAAGTGGCTAAATTACAAGAAGATGGCTTTAGAGGTCCCCAGACTTGCACTTTTCATGCCAGGTAGGATCTGACAAATGCCAGAGCTGACAAGAAATTTAACAAAAAGTACCCCTCACAACTCATCCTTTTTATACAAAAGCTTATGGAAAACACAACAAAACCATAAACTCTGTGATAAGACTGGTTCTCTCAGAGTGTAAAGATGAACATAAATAACTTATTTTCTTAGCTTTTTGTTCTCCAAAATAACACACTCTCCCTGTATTCCTCAGGACTCACAGAAACACAGATAATCAGGGATTTGCTGTGTACTTCAGTTGTGTTTTTCAGCCTCTTTAACCAGCACCTCACCTAAATTGCTCAGACAGCATAGATGTCTGTTGTCAAAAAGATCACAACATTAAGTAGTGATTTATCATGCCCGTTGATTCAGCTCTTCTTTCCCTTACTCGAGTATCATAAACATGGCTCAGAAACAGGACAGATACTTTCTGGAAAGTTTCCACAAGCCTAAAAGACAGGATCCAACACAAAGTAAATGGCTGAAGTTCAACCCAAGTCAGTGAAGAGTTTGCCCAATTTAGAAATGGAGTTCTCAGAGATTCCAGCTAAACCTATTCACATTTGCAGAAGAATATCTGGTTTACACACTTTCAGCATGCCTGATACTACTTCTACCATGAGGATGAACTTTTAAATGAGATTAATGATCTCTGGGTCACAGCGATAAAAGATTGATGAGGTCCTCACCAAAATCAATTTACTCTTTCTTCCTACAAAGGGTTGCTGTCACTCTGCTACATCTCAAACTAGGTCACAATTAAGACGATGTAGTTTGATCTGTTTTTCCCTGACCAGATGCTTTAATTCAGTGCCTACAGTTTGTTGTATACAGTTTTCTGATAACCTCAAGGGAGCTTAATGGTAGCAGTGCATTAACCCACTGATGCTAATCTGCAGGATCAGGTATCAGGATATGCAAATGAATTAAACTAGATCTTGTTTTCAGAAGGTATCATAAGATGCCCCTTGAGCTTCATGTGCTTTTGAACATAATTTGATGCATTAACATTTAATTTCTTCCAGGTGGGGTTTACCTTCCCCTGAGGTAAAGAGCTTACAGTGTAACACAGATCTTGTGCCTGCCTTCTTGTTCTTCTAACAAGAAACGCAAGATCCAGTTTCTCTCTCCTCTTCCTTCCCCCACTACTTTCCTCCCACAATGTTTTAAAAACCTACAGTAATCAGTAATGTGAGAAAAGTTGTTTTGATCCCCTTAGGGCTCTGTTCTCACTGAGTGACTCTCTGATCACACTTGCTACCTTGATGTGCCAGTGTTGTTGGGATCTAAGCAGCGGTTTTTATTTTTCCCATCTCTTCACCCTGTTAGTGCCATGGGACAGCTATAATAGTTTCTGGACTTGAACATAACAACAACTAAGAAGAAATTTGCACCAGAGACCCAGTTCAAGGCTTGTACAGATCCCGTTAACTGCTGGGGCAGGTTTTGGGATATTAGTTCATTCAGTGGGAACATTTGACCCATGCAGGCCCTCAGGACAGTTTGTGGCTTCACAGGTCTCCACACTATTTGATTTATGGAGTTCCAATGACCTGAAACAATAGCCACTGCCGATAGCTAAGATCACAGATTTTAAAGGTCAGTAAGGACCACTAGCTTTCATTATTCCAGAAGCCAAATAATTTAATCCAGTAAATCCTGCCTCAAATCCATATCTTGTGGTTGAGCTGCAACATATATTTTCAGAAACTGCTCCAAAGTCAACTTAGAGATTCATTTTAATGAGGTATCCCACCAAGCTCTCTGCATCCCTGAGCACAGCAATGCATATGATGTGCTCACATCTCCCTTCATACACTTGAGTTTTGCTTAAAACACTGAAGTCTTTGGTTAGAGCAGAATTGTTTACTGAGCACTACCAATGTGTTCTGCCTTGCTTAAGTAATGGTTTTATGATGTAAATTAGACAGATAATACTATTCATAAACGATACTGCATGATCAGATGGCAGACTAAGCTTAGAGAGATAGAGATTTCCTTTTTAATTAAAACTGCAACACTTCTGTGCAGTGGATTAACACTGAAAGGGTCACTGGAGGAAGGGAATTAAAGTAGGATTTGACTGATGAGAAAGTGGCCATTCCCGAGCAATTTAACAGCATAACAACTGTGCCACTTCTCAACATCTTCCTTGAGGGACATCTAAGATTATATTACCTTGAGTTAAGCCCTAAAAGTCCTTGAAATATATTAGTAGAATATAATTCTCATTTTATTTTTATGAAAATTGGGATGTAGCAGGTTGAAGTAAAAATGAAATCATCTTTGCTTTCTTTTGCAACATTCATCTTGACAATGAGAATTTCTTTTTGGAAGTACCTGCTATTCAAGGCTCCCATCGATCCCTGCTGGAATTAGGGGATCTCCAGCAGCTATAGTAATCAAGCTCCAGTCATTCTTTTTAAGCAAGTAATGTTTTTCCATCAGATGGTGTATGCACTCAGCAACTAAGCTGCAATACAGATGCTGATTTTCAATTCCCACAACACCTAACCCTGATGGCTGGCTGGTCCCAGACGACTGTCAGGAAGCAGCATCCACATATGTGATACTGCACTGAAACATCCTGGCTTATGATGAAAGAAACCCTCTCAAGTTAGAAGGATCTTGAATCATACTGATGCATATCCACCTTCATTTAGGCCTCAACATGAATTTCTCCTGGTTAGATTTTAACTGCTGTTCAGCTGACATCTGCTAACAAAGCAGAGTATAATGGATGGTTAACTTCAAATCTAAAACTTGCACATGAATTCTTTTGCTAAATACCCTGCAATTAGACAAGCTGAGTAAGGCAGAGACTGCAGTATTGTATCACTAGAAAACAAGCAGGGGAAGAAATCTGAGCTGCTCTTGTTCCATTAAAAAAAAAAAAAAAAAAAAAAAAAAAAAAAAAAGTAGCTCAAATATTTCTCTCTATATTCCTTAGATATATAAGAAATTCTGAATCTGCCACTCACAAATAATAAAGTTGTTATAATTAAATTTCCACATTGTCTATTTACAGCAGTAGACTAAGACATCTAAAAAATCTTAAGCAAATAGGAGTTTTCTTCCAGAATAGCTGGCTGTTGGAAACAACAAATCCACATTACAGATAGCACAGATTAGAGCAGCTATTTGGTACTGAGCCTCAATAAATAATTTGGATAATCAAATATTTCTGTGCTCCTCCCCCCTCCATCCAAAAAAACAATATATATATTGTTATATATATATATATATAAAACCCTACAAATAGGATTATTGGGAGGATTAAAAAAAAGAAACTAAATTTGTCACCTAAAATTTACTGTGAGAAAGTGACTTCATCCTCCCGAATCTTCTGTATGAGGCCGTCTACAGGAAAGTAGGAAGTCTCTAACACTCAGGCTGCTCCAAAGGGGCTAAATTTACTCTGAATATTGCCACAGTACAACAGCACCATCCTCCTCACAGAGGGTCTCTTGACAGAGGTGAAGAAGATTTATAACAAAATAAATGAAATTATGCTTACCCCATTGAGAACCTCAAAGGAAATCAATTTTTAGTTTGAGAGAATAACTGAATAAAAGCCACATTAGGCAGCATAGACTCCTCAAGACTAGTTACAAGCAACACTGGATATTCACACATTCAGGAGCTCAAAAGAAAGCCTTAAGCAGGCATGCTTTTCTCCCAGTTCTTTTCAAAACCCGCATTAGAAAAATGATGAGCTTGCAGCTGCAGGCAGCAGCAAGAGGACCTGCACCTCTACCTGAGCTCACCTACCCCCATCACTTTGTTGCCAGCAAACACTGCAATGCAGCTGCGAGCACTCTGTGCTCAGCTACGTGTTTGCTTGTCTCCCGATGTCTGTGCCAGTGAATATGTGCAGGAAGCTTTAATAAAGCAAACTCTGCAGTAGACTGCAGAGCAGACTGACGAACAGCTCCAGTAGCACTGAGATGTGCCAAAGCTCTCTGCCTCCCCTCCTCCACGCAGCCCATAAGCCTGATAGATGAAAGCTGTGACCAGCATCAGGTGGTTAAAATACAGTTCATTAGCTCACGTTGCTTGCTGCCTGCTTGCTGTGGAAAGACTGCAGGAGCTGCTCGTGATGATCACATGCTGAATGTGTTTACTGGAGTTCAAAACAGCTTGTCTCCTTTATGCCAATCCCGCCCTTTAAAATGATGTTAATTAAGCAAACAGCTTTAATACTACAGGCAAATAGTATGTAATCAGTGATTACAGCAGCAGGCAAGGGTGTGATTTCACCAAGATTTAGTGAGATGGGGCAGAGGATGACTTGGTCTGCATGGCTGGGGGCTCCAACTGTCCTGCCCTGCTCCTTCCCCCTGTGCTCCCAGGTCCTGTTAGTGTCCTCATGCCTTGTACCAGTGTCACCAGACAGATATCTGGGCTGCAGAGAAAATCAGTTTCCCTCTGTAATGATCCATTGGGGAAGAAGATGAATTTCCCTAACACTGTTTTGGGAGCAAAGGAAGGTTTTCCCAGTCTGCAATCTGGATGGAAGGCAACCTGCAGTACGACACAAACGTCACAATCAGCCCAGGCACCAGGGTTGGACAATGAGGAGGTGGCTGGGGACAGGGCAGCACCCAGACACTGATTGCACAGAGCTTACCTGGCTGAACAGTGTTTACCAGAATGAGATAGAAACCAAACTAATAGATTGTCCCAACTCATGTCCCCACACTCCCACTTGGTATGTTTGCTTCTTTCCCTTCTGTCTTTACTCCTGCCTTCCCACGTGAAAACAGCAAAGTAATGTTTATCTGTTTTGCAGTCCTTTATAATGCCTTATAAAAACATAACCCAGACTTCTGGGCCAAAACCCCATTTTACAGCTGTAGAAAATGCAGCTCAGAAAGATAGGGTGACTCAGCCAAGATTTGCAGTCAGCCCACATCAGAATGGTTTTTGGGATGCATTTTCTTTGGCTCTCAAAATAAACTTTGCTCCGCTGGCACCAGAACTTTCTATGGAGCCCCAGCTAACCGCTGTACTGAACTTTCTATCTTTATTCCCTTCAACATGTATTTATTCTTTGTTCTTCAATGTGCTGGACGTTGCAGGATGTAAAGCAGAACATATAGCATTGTTCGCTTCTGCTTTGTGCTGGTGAAAGAACAAGCACAAAGGAAAGAGAGGAGAAAAGGGGGCACTTTCTTATATAAAAGGCCCTGAAATCCCATATGGAAAAAGTCTATGCAAGTGAATAAATGTGATTCTAAAAGCCTATTGAATTTGAGAGAGAATGATCTCCTTCCCACATGGTTTTCAAACAGCATAGAGACTGATGTAGCGTTTGAGCACCTAGAGAAAAGAGATCAGTCTCTTTTCAATTCTATGGATTTATCCATATAAGACTATTGCTTTCATTTCCACTAAGTACCTTATGGAAAAGGCCTAGGGAAAAGGATGAAAAGATAACTGGGAAAACAAAATTGGTTGGTTTGTTTTGGATTTTGAAGCAGTTGCAGACTAGCAAGCATTGCTATTGCTTTCTTTTCCTGATTTGCAGTGGTATTACATTTGTTTATTTTGTTTATAGGCTTTTCTGTGGCAATTGTCATTACAGCATCAAGCAGGGAGTTTTTTAAAAAGTGTGAATGCTTGCCTAGATGTCTTTCTAAGATGTGTGCCTTGCCTGAATATTTATCTTCACTATACATGCAGGAAGCTGTGCTCAGAGAAAGGCAAAGTGAGACTTCATGATCATTTATCTTGTTGGATGAGAAAGCAGTAGCAAGTGAAACAGTGGTAAGTACGGTATCATCCAAAGCCTCTCAGGAGAGGAGAAGGCTATAGAATGCAGGAGGGCCTTTTCTGTGGAATGGCTGCAGAGGCTCAGTTGGTCTGCCAGGAAGGGCACAGCTGTGCCAGATGTGCAGCAACACAAGTGCAATGAAATCCAGCACAGCCCTCAGGTAGGCAGATTTCCTACACTGCATTCAGCAGAAATGTTCCCCAGCTCTCCTGCACATATGCGCATTTGCGTAGGTACATTACATAAAGGCCATGCTTACCCTGGAAGCCCAGAGGGAACATTAAATGACTGCGTGCGCTGCTGATGACGGACGGTGGAGTGCCCAAAGGCAGCTTTTCTGTGGTAAATTTCTGTCAGATTTTATATGCTACAACATCTGGGCAAAAAATTGGAGCTAACAATCAAATGGGACAGCTTGGCTATGAGCAGTCACTCCAATATCTTGACCCTGATCATCCCCCTTTCCTTCAGACAGTACCAAGCTTGGTCTGCTCACTGAGGGACTGCTCACTGCCGCTGTCCCCAAGCTGTGTGGTCTAGCTGGATACCAGAAACAGTTCCCTGACTGCCCTGAACAAAGCGTATGCAGGAGCACTTGAAAATGCTGCTTAAAACTGTCTCTTCTTTAGAGCACCATCCTCTCAACTACCCGTGCTGCTATCTCCATCTGAGTGAGAGGTCCCTTTGCTGCTGGTGGTGGATACACAGTTCCATCCCTCAGGGAAGCCCTTTGTGCTTGGTGGCAGGCAGATAGACCCAGAGCAGCCAGCTCACTCCTGGGAGATCATCTGGGCCAGGAAAAGTCATGTAGGTGGGTAGCAGCAAGAAGAAAGACTGGTCTCTCTGCTCCTGCCTTTCCCCAGGCCCACTCACAGAGGCCTTTCATCTCCACAAGCTTTTGCTTGTCCAGCCATAAAATGGGAGAAGCCATCACTCTTACCTTGCAGCAGGGTTGAGAGGCTTTGTTTTTTCATACTCATAATGAATAAATGGCAAGCACTGTGTTTTCATTAATTACTGTTGGTCTGCTCACTGTGTGATGGGAAAGGATGGCTGTGGATAATGGAGTCAAACCCTGACAGGTAACAAGAGCCACATCCATCACAGAAGCTACTCCCATGTATGTCATGGCATGGCAGCCTGCATTCATCACAAAATGTGACTCAAAATAGAACAGCACGCTGCATCATTTGCAGCTTCTTGTCCTTCAGATGGCTTTTTTCCTATGCTCATACACTGTTTGCAGAGGGTCCTGGATTTAATCAGTGGTTTCCCCAACAGTCATGACACAGAGAAGGGATGCTAATAATACTGTAAAACTGAGTTAGAGCATGTCTGCAGTTCTTGCCCTGTATTTCACTGAATTTCAGCTCCCAGAGCTAGCAGGACTTTCCTGCTCCTATATGTGCAAGGAAGGAGAGCACAGTGCTGCAGCCTTGCCCCTGCAGGACCCTCCCTCCTGGAAGTGCCCAGACTGAGACCAGGGCTCATCATTCACTTTGAGTGCACAGTGTACCTGAACTTGAGGGATTCAGTGCTCTTTTGTAATTAATGGTACATTTTTAGGGCTACTAATTGTCTCAGCTTCACCATTGTGGTTATTAAAGAGAAAATCCAAGTGAAATCTTTGGAGCTCTCTCCTACAGCAAGTTTCCTGTTCACAGCAGCAAGCTGCAGGGCACATCCTGACAACAGTCTAATATTAGCAGATTGCTTTCTCATTTTACAGACATCTGTACCTCAAAAATTACTCTAGCATTTAGGTTATTCTTTCTGAAACCTATCAACAGAGCCTCTTTGCAGCATAAACATCCACTTTGTTCTTTAGGATGTTTCAGACAGTTTGAGTTTCTCTCCCTACCTCTGCCGATACTTTGCTCTCAGCTTGCAAAAGCAGGGGTTTCATTGTGAATATGCGCATTATTGTCTCACCCTTGGTAACCTCCAGAGGATGTCTGCATGTCTCATCATACAACCTGACACAATATCCTTCCCAGATGGTCCAGATACAGCCTGGTTTCATTAACATGTTTCTTGCTGCTGCCAGAGCCCAATAGAGTTGTAGAAATTGTGGCTAGGGAATGCAAGAGGCTGTAATGAGATTTTTGCGTGTGTGTCTTAATGGCATTGAAGAGTTTTATGTATCATCTCTCAGAGAACTGCTCTCCCCCAGGCCGCTGCTGGTGATCATGTTCTGTCTGGCTCCCACATCAACCACAGCACATCTTGATTTCCGCTTAAATCAGTTTCCTACCATTTTAACCCCAGCAGCCTTTGAAATCATGAGGCCACTGTAACAATAGGCAGAATTTATACAGTGATTTTCATCTTCACAGCAATTTTCAAACAATAATGAATCAATCATTAATGCTCCCCTATGTAGGACATGACAAAAACTTGTGAGGCTGATTTTACAGACTGGAAATCTGAGGCTCAGAAAACCTGAGGGCCTTGCTGAAAGCCAGGAGAAAAAACATGGTCTAAACAGCAAAAAGAACAGATGAGTTTTCAGTGTTCTATACTGAATTTTTACTTTCATCTCATGTTAACCTATGAGGCAGCTCATTCTCCTCATAGGGGTGCCCTGTATTGCACCACTAACAGCAGATCCAGGACATTCACTGTCACCTTACTGTGTCAGTGGTGCTCATTGATGTAGCATGCTCTTCCAGTGGAAAGGAAATTAATTATTGGAAGTTACAGGGCATGTGATGAACCAGTGCCTGGCAATGTTGAATGCCATGGCTGAGTTGAGGATGTACTCAAGGCTCTCCACAGGAAAAAGCCTTCATGTTGAAAATGATTCGTAAAGTTTCAGGAACATTCCCTCATTGTTATGCTATACTGTATATGCTACTGACCAGTTTCCCCACTCAGACTAATTCCCCTGACCATTCCCCTGTTCAGACTAGTATTAGCAGGTAGCTTTCTCATTTTACAGACAGGGGTACATGTGCACCTTAGAAATTGCTCTAGGGTTTATCCTTCCCAAAACCTATCAACAGAATGAGTCTTTGTGGCATAACCACACATTTTGTTCTTCAGGATTAAGGACAGATTGGGAATGAGTTACATTGTGCATTACTGAGCTGAATCTGCTCTGGTAGGTCTGAAGGTTTGGTTGAGGTAGTAAAGTGATAATACAAGAAATCAGACAGATAAACTGTGGCTACCAAACGTGAAGGATGGCTGGATGTTCTTAAAGGTAAATATGGCTTAAAGTCTAGGAACACGTCCCATTGACTGTAATCCCTGATCTGACACCAGTATGATCTATTA